CTCTCTCCTCTCTGTTTTGAGTCATTTGACCAATCCCCTCCTCTCTCCTCTTTGTTTTAAGTCATTTGACCAATCCCCTCCTCTGTCATATTTGTTTTGAGTCATTTGACAAATCCCCTCCTCTCTCCCCTCTGTTTTGAATCATTTGACTAATCCCCTCCTCTCTCCCCTCTGTTTTGAGTCATTTGACCAATCCCCTCTTCTCTCCCCTCGGTTTGAGCCATTTGACCAATCCCCTCCTCTCTCCTCTTTGTTTTGAGTCATTTGACGAATCCCCTCCTCTCTCCTATTTGTTTTGAGTCATTTGACCAATCCCCTCCTCTCTCTTTGTTTTGAGTCATTTCACCTATCCCCTCCTCTCTCCTCTTTGATTTGACTCATTTGACCAATCCCCTCCTCTCTCCCCTCAGTTTTGAGTAATTTGACCAATCCCCTCCTCTCTCCTCTTTGTTTTGAGTAATTTGACCAATCCCCTCCTCTCTCGTCTTTGTTTTGAGTCATTTGACCAATCCCCTCCTCTCTCCCCTCTGTTTTGAATCATTTGACCAGTCCCCTCCTCTCTCCCCTCTGTTTTGAGTCATTTGACCAATCCCCTCTTCTCTCTCCTCTGTTTTGAGCCATTTGACCAATCCCCTCCTCTCTCCTCTTTGTTTTGAGTCATTTCACCAATCCCCTCCTCTCTCCCCTTTGTTTTGAGTCATTTGACCAATCCCCTCCTCTCTCCTCTTTGTTTTGAGCCATTTGACCAATCCCCTCCTCTCTCCTCTTTGTTTTGAGTCATTTGACCAATCCCCTCCTCTCTCCTATTTGTTTTGAGTCATTTGACCAATCCCCTCCTCTCTCTTTGTTTTGAGTCATTTCACCTATCCCCTCCTCTCTCCTCTTTGTTTTGAGTCATTTGACCAATCCCCTCCTCTCTCCCCTCTGTTTTGAATCATTTGACCAGTCCCCTCCTCTCTCCCCTCTGTTTTGAGTCATTTGACCAATCCCCTCTTCTCTCCCCTCTGTTTTGAGCCATTTGACCAATCCCCTCCTCTCTCCTCTTTGTTTTGAGTCATTTCACCAATCCCCTCCTCTCTCCCCTTTGTTTTGAGTCATTTGACCAATCCCCTCCTCTCTCCTCTTTGTTTTGAGCCATTTGACCAATCCCCTCCTCTCTCCCCTCTGTTTTGAGTCATTTGACCAATCCCCTCCTCAATCCTCTTTGTTTTGAGTCATTTGACCAATCCCCTCCCATCTTCCCCCTGTTTTGAGTCATTTGACCAATCCCTTACTCTCTCCCCTCTGTTTTGAGTCCTTTGACCAATCCTCTCCTCTCTCCTATGTTTTGAGTCATTTGACCAATCCCCTCCTCTCTCCTATTTGTTTTGAGTCATTTAACTAATTCCCTCCTCTCTCCTCTTTGTTTTGAGTCATTTGACAAATCCCCTCCTCTCTCCCCTCTGTTTTGAGTCATTTGACCAACGCCTCATCTCCCCTCCCCTCCCCTCTCCTCCCTCCCTCCCTCCCTCCCTCCCTCCCTCCCTCCCTCCCTCCCTCCCTACATTTGACAATGTACTAGGGCACATAAAAATCATGTGCCTTCTCATTCCCTCAAGGTGCCTTGCCGTTCCCTGCATGATGCCTTCTCATTCCTTGCATGATGCCATTTTCCTCCCCTTTCCAGCAGGTGCCAGTGCAAGGCATAATGTTTTGAGGTGTCACACTCAACACCTCCCCTCTGTCCTCCCGTTTCCAGCAGGTGCCAGTGCAGCGCATGTTGATTGAAGAGGTCTCAATCACCCCGTCCCCTCTTTCCATCCCAAAATTTCCTGTTTGTTTGTTTGTTTGTTTGTTTGTTTTAGTTTGTTTTGCTTGCTTGTTTGTTGTTCCTGTGTGCATTCTTTGCTCAAGGGGGGGGTGTAAGGGGGCATGGGGAACTGTGAGACGTCCAAGCCACCCTCTCCCCTCCCCTTTCTGCCAGCTGCCAGTGCAGCGCCTGCCCATTTGAGCTTGTCTCACCCACCCCCATTTGAGGGTGCTCCCCCCGCTCACTTGCCCTGCTCCCCCCGCTCACTTGCTCTGCTCCCCCACCCCAACTCCTCCCCTGCCTTTGCGCAGGTGCCAGTTTCTCCTGTCGCCAAGATGAAGATACTTTGCACAGGGAGCAGATGCGTTGCCAGCTGCTTGTGTGGCCGTCCCTCATCATCCATGCGCGGGACATGAGAGAGAACAAGGGAGAGAAACAGAAGCAGGGGGAGGGAGCGCAGCGCCATGCCATGCCGCATGGCCCACCAAACCAGCATCAGGTGCGTTGTGAGTCGCCCCAGAGCATGCACTGCACACCTTGCCATATCCCTCACACCTGCCATCCCACCATGCCCTCACACCTCCTGCCATCCCCTCACTTGCCCTGCTCCCCCCGCTCACTTGCTCCGCTTCCCCTCTCCCCCACCCCAACTCCCCCCCTCCCCTTGCGCAGGTGCCAGCTTCCCTCCTGTCGCCAAGACGAAGACACTTGGCTTGCAATGTGTAGAGTGGTAGGGATTGATGAATCTGATTACGTTAGGAACATAAATGTATGTGCTTGTTAGTATATATGCAGGGGGAGGGGGGGAGTGCAGGTTTGGTTTGGGCCAGGTTTGGGATATGAAAGAGTGGCAGAGACGGAAACAGGGAGTAGATGCGTTGCCACCTGCTTGTGTTCAGCCATGCGCAGGGCATGACATGAGGGAGAAGAAGAGAGAGAAACAGACGCACAAGGAGGGAGCGCATGTGCCATTTTCTCCTGTCGACAACATGAGGCTATTTGCTACGACGCGTAGAGTGATAGATGACTTATAGATTTGATGACCTAGCGAATATGAATGTATGTGCTTGTTATTATATACGCAGGCGGGCAGAGAAAGTGGGGAGGGGTGAGGGAAAAGGGAGGGGAGTGGGGAGCAGAAGCAGAACAGAAGAGGGAGTGGTGGATGAGCTCCTGGCTCTCTGTGCTGTGCGCCCCTCCCTGGTTGGCCATGCCATGCCATGCCATGCCATGCCATGCCATGCCATGCCATGCCATGCCATGCCCGGGAGGGATATGATAGATAGGAAGCACAAAGTAGAAGCAGAAGCAGGAATGTGATATGACAGGGAGCAGATATGCATGGGCCATGCCCAGGGATTTCCAGGGCGGTTCGAGGGGGGCTGTGAGGGGCTGTGAGGAGAATTGGGGGGTAGGGGGGCCTTAGGGGGGCCTTGGGGGGGCTGTGGGGGGGTTTTTTCAGGATTTTAGGGGGGTTTTCCCCTCTCTTGTACCCCATCTCTGCTTATTAATCAATCACAAGCAAGCTTTCTGCCATCACCCTTCCGACTACGCTCATGTTTTCGCCTTGCCGCCTGAGGGAGGGGGATCTAGATGATCCAGGTTGTCCGGGGCCGTCCTCCTGAAATACGTATGTCAAGATGTTGACCAGAGTGGGAGCCAGGGCAGTGTATGTAAGGGGTGGTGTATGTAGGGGTGGGCAGGGCAGGTGCAAACGTAGGGGATAATGAGTGACAGAAACTGAAGGGAGAGTGAAAATTGAATCAAACAGGGGGAGAAAGAAGAAAACTGGCACAAGTTCACTACAGGTAGGCAGGATAAGTGACCAGCACAGGGGGGTGAAGTGACAAGGGCAGGGGGGTGAAGTGACAAGGGCAGGGGGGTGAAGTGATGAGACCTGCTTTCCAAGGTCAAAACAAGGGCCCATTGCTGACCTACTAACACTCACCGACACGGCATGCCTCATGCGCCGACCTGTTGTGTGAAACCTGCCCCATCCTCACACCACACATCAAATCAAGCACTAGACCAACACCCCCATGCCCTCTCACACACCTCCTCTGCAGCAGGGCTACTGGCGTCACTACCCACCAGCAGCACAAGCAGCATGTTCAGGAGTCATCTCAAACCACACCTCAACACCAGACCAACACCCTCATGACCTGTCACCTCACTCGCTTCCCCTGCTGCACGGCTGCTGGCGTCACTCCCCACCACCAGCACCAGCATCAGCATCAGCAGCAGCAGCATATCCAAGCACATGTGAGTGATTCGACTCAAAGCACACCTCGACCACCACACTGGCACGCCCCATGCCCTGTCACCTCACCCATGTGCTCTACAGCAGGGCTACTGGCGTCACGCCCCACCACCAGCACCAGGCTATCAGCAGCGAGTCCAGCACCCACACACCCCGTGCCCTGCTCTGCTGCACCACTCACCTGCTCTGCTGCACCACTCACCTGCTCTGCTGCACGACTCACCTGCTCTGCTGCACCACTCACCTGCTCTGCTGCACTACTCACCTGCTCTGCTGCACCACTCACCTGCTCTGCTGCACCACTCACCTGCTCTGCTGCACCACTCACCTGCTCTGCCGCACCACTCACCTGCTCTGCTGCACGACTCACCTGCTCTGCTGCACCACTCACCTGCTCTGCTGCACCACTCACCTGCTCTGCTGCACCACTCACCTGCTCTGCTGCACCACTCACGTGCTCTGCCGCACCACTCACCTGCTCTGCTGCACCACTCACCTGCTCTGCTGCACCACTCACCTGCTCTGCTGCACCACTCACCTGCTCCGCTTCCCAGCAGGAGCAGCTGCCGGGCTGGGGGAACACGGCCACATTGCTGCCCACCCACATAGCTCTGACGCATGGTGTTTTTGAGAATTCTCAAAAACACCCTGCAACATCAGGAGCAGCTGCCGGGGGAACCTGGCCACCTTGCTGCCCACCCACATAGTTCTGACGCATGGACCGGGTACGAAGCAATATAGATATGTGACCGAAGTGTCAGGGTGTAAACACATAGATGTATAAATATAAATATGTATATAGATAGATTTATGTATGCATGTATATACATACACTCATACACTCAATGCAGACACACGCCATCACACACGCGTTCGCATGAGCCCATGCTTCATACACTTGATGCATGACCGAGACACTCAGAGCTTCATACCAGACTTCGCATGGTCGTACTAAGCAAGCACCTGAGAGACATTGGAGAGACACCTGGGATGGGCACCTGAGAGGGGAACCTGAGAGACACCTGAGAGGGGCAGCTGAAAGGGACAGCTGAGAGAAGCCTGAGAGGGACCCCCTGAGAAAATACCTGAGAGGGGCGCCTGAGAGACACCTGAGATGGGCGCCTGAGAAACACCTGAGTGGGGCACCTGAAAGGGGCACCCGAGATGGACACCTGAGATGGGCACCTGAGAGACACCTGAGAGGGTAACCTGAGAGTCACTTGAGAGGGGCGTCTGAGAGACACCTGAGAGGGACTCTCGGCCACCGGCGGTTGCTTTGGCTAACGTAGGGTTACCCTACGTAACGTAAAAACGCTGCTTTGCATTGCCTACGCCGGGGTAGAGTAACGACGTCGGTATCGTTTGCTATCTGGACCGTGAGGGCAGGTGAATGCGACGGTGACCAACACGGTCTGCGACAGAATGCGAAGGATACCTGGGCAGTGTACGACTGCATGCAACGGATACCTGGACGGTATGTGACTGAATGCTGAGCACGCGACCGCCCCCGTGCAGGGCGACGGAGAGAGACGACGTCATCACAACCGCATGGGAAAACGTCATCGTGAGCGGCAGAATTGCAGAAAAACACATAGGTCATTATTTTTGTGTCAAAGGTTGGTGACATCCGTTGTAGTCTAGTCGGTTAGGATACTCGGCTCTCACCCGAGAGACCCGGGAGACAAGTAGGGTCCGCGTCACGCGCTGTGGACGGAGAGCGCGCGCAGCGCGGGGAGGGACTAGGGACGGAAGGAACGCGGCGATAGAGCGGAAAGCTGAGGGAAACTATCGCGATACCCGCCTGGTCCGTTTTTACGCGATGTGGGCGGAGAGCGCGCGCAGCGGCTCTGCGTCCTCCATGATGCTTGACAAGAGAGCTCAGTACGGCCAACCTTGAAAATCACGTCGTTGTGTATCACAATAAAAAACAACATATTGCGTAAAACACAGGACCAGTAGCATAACTTCCCTTTCAATCGTTGATATGCAACACTTAGTGGGTTCGATTCCCGCCTGATTCCTTTCTCGGTGTTAATTGTGCTCAGGAAAGTGCCTCACCCGGCCAAAAACAGATGAGCATTCTCTTTTTACAGTACATTCAACTCAGCTCTCAGTTGTCAGCTGAGCATCAACTCCCTTATCCTGCAGCACCCCTACACTGTCACCGCTCACCAAGGCACTGTCACCGCTCACCAAGGCACTTTCACCATCTTGCAATCCATCTAAACCATCTACACCGCTTTCAACCGCTTGTGCACGTAACACAACAGGCGGGCTTATAAAGTCATCACGGCTCTGAACGAGGCAGAGCTCCAGGCGCTTGGTAGTGGGGGGAGTGGGAGAGGACTCGGTGCCGTCCAGAGGTGGAGAGCGGTGCTGCAAGGTTCGTGCGAGCACAGCCTGTAGGGAGAAAGAATGGGAGGAGAGGAGCAATTAGGTCAGGAGGGTTGCACTGCCACGGGTTGCCAATGCCAACTCTGCTGATATAGCTTGCCTCAAAGCCATGGACAGCCCAGTGCCACTGCCAGCTCTGCTGTTGAAACAGAAAAGCTAGACAAACATTGAAAACACAGCAGAGCATCAACAAACACAAGCACGAGGCGCAACAGCAGCTGCTCACCTGTAGGGATGCCACTGCTAGCTCCGCTGCTCTAGCCAAGTCGTGAGGATACTTCTGATGAAAGGAGGGAGAGAGGGAGGAAAGGAGGGAGGGAAAGAGGGAGAGAGGGAGGGAAGGAGGGAGGGAAAGAGGGAGAGAGGGGGGAAAGGAAAGTGTGTGAGGGAGAGAATGGAAGGAGAGGAGCTGAGAGAATGAGGAGCAGGTTGTGTCAATGTAGGGAAGGAGGGAGGGAAAGAGGGAGAGAGGGAGGGAAGGAGGGAGGGAAAGAGGGAGAGAGGGGGGAAAGGAAAGTGTGTGAGGGAGAGAATGGAAGGAGAGGAGCTGAGAGAATGAGGAGCAGGTTGTGTCAATGTAGGGAAGGAGGGAGGGAAAGAGGGAGAGAGGGAGGGAAGGAGGGAGGGAAAGAGGGAGAGAGGGGGGAAAGGAAACTGTGTGAGGGAGAGAATGGAAGGAGAGGAGCTGAGAGAATGAGGAGCAGGTTGTGTCAATGTGGGGAAGGAGGGAGGGAAAGAGGGAGAGAGGGAGGGAAGGAGGGAGGGAAAGAGGGAGAGAGGGGGGAAAGGAAACTGTGTGAGGGAGAGAATGGAAGGAGAGGAGCTGAGAGAATGAGGAGCAGATTGAGTCAATGTAATCAGAAGAGTGAGATGTAACCAGCACTGTGAGATGTAACCAGCACTGTGAGATGTAACACTGTGAGATGTAACCAGCACCGTGAGATGTAACCAGCACCGTGAGATGTAACCAGCACTGTCAGATGTAACCAGCACTGCACTGCGCTGCTCATGGCGCTCTGGGGAACGTTGAGACATCCAGGCCACCCTCTCCCCTCCCCTTTCTGCCAGGTACCAGTGCAGCGCTTGCCCATTTGAGCATGTCTCACCCACCCCCTCCCCTCTTTCCCCACTTCCCCCCTTCTGCCAGGTGCCTTCCCATGCCCTGCATGGTGCCTTCTCATGCCCTGCCCGGTAAATTCTCATGCCCTGCATGGTGCCTTGGCATGCCCTGCCAGGTGCATTCGCATTCCCTGCATGGTGCCTTCTCATTTCCTGCCAGGTAAGGGGGTAAGGGGGTTTAGGGTGCTCCCCCCGCTCACTTGCCCTGCTCCCCCCGCTCACTTTCTCTGCTCCCCCACCCCAACTCCTCCCCTCCCCTTGCGCAGGTGCCAGTTTCTCCTGTCGCCAAGATGAAGATACTTTGCACAGGGAGCAGATGCGTTGCCAGCTGCTTGTGTGGCCGTCCCTGTTCATCCATGCGCGGGACATGAGAGAGAACAAGGGAGAGAAACAGAAGCAGGAGGAGGGAGCGCAGCGCCATCCCATGCCGCATGGCCCACCAAACCAGCCCCAGGTGCGTTGTGAGTCATTTGACCAATCCCCTCCTCTGTCCCCTTTGTTTTGAGTCATTTGACCAATCCCCTCCTCTCTCCTCTTTGTTTTGAGTCATTTGACCAATCCCCTCCTCTCTCCCCTCTGTTTTGAGTCATTTGACCAATCCCCTCCTCACTCCTCTTTGTTTTGAGTCATTTGACCAATCCCCTCCTCTCTTCCCCCTGTTTTGAGTCATTTGACCAATCCCCTACTCTCTCCCCTCTGTTTTGAGTCATTTGACCAATCCCCTCCTCTCTCCTCTTTGTTTTTAGTCATTTGACCAATCCCCTCCTCTCTTCCCCCTGTTTTGAGTCATTTGACCAATCCCCTACTCTCTCCCCTCTGTTTTGAGTCATTTGACCAATCCCCTCATCTCTCCTATTCGTTTTGAGTCATTTAACCAATTCCCTCCTCTCTCCTCCTTGTTTCGAGTCATTTCACCAATCCCCTCCTCTCTCTCCTCTTTGTTTTGAGTCATTTGACCAATCCCCTCCTCTCTCCCCTCAGTTTTGAGTCATTTCACCAATCCCCTCCTCTCTCCTCTCTGTTTTGAGTCATTTGACCAATCCCCTCCTCTCTCCTATTTGTTTTGAGTCATTTGTCCAATCCCCTCCTCTCTCCTATTTGTTTTGAGTCATTTGACCAATCCCCTCCGCTCTCCTCTTTGTTTTGAGTCATTTCACCAATCCCCTCCTCTCTCCCCTTTGTTTTGAGTCGTTTGACCAATCCCCTCCTCTCTCCTCTTTGTTTTGAGCCATTTGACCAATCCCCTCCTCTCTCCCCTCTGTTTTGAGTCATTTGACCAATCCCCTCCTCACTGCTCTTTGTTTTGAGTCATTTGACCAATCCCCTCCTCTCTTCCCCCTGTTTTGAGTCATTTCACCTATCCCCTCCTCTCTCCTCTCTGTTTTGAGTCATTTGACCAATCCTCTCCTCTCTCCTCTGTTTTGAGTCATTTGACCAGTCCCCTCCTCTCTCCTATTTGTTTTGAGTCATTTGACCAATCCCCTCTTCTCTCCTCTTTGTTTTGAGCCATTTGACAAATCCCCTCCCTCTCCCCTCTGTTTTGAGTTATTTGACCAACGCCTCATCTCCCCTCCCCTCCCCTCTCCTCCCTCCCTCCCTCCCTCCCTCCCTCCCTCCCTCCCTCCCTCCCTCCCTCCCTCCCTCCCCGTGTTTCAGCAGCTGCCAGCGGGGCGTGACAGTGCAGCACGGGGCGGGGCAGGCTGACGCGCACGCCCACGTGGTAAGAGCGAACCAGAACGATGCATGAATGTATGAACACAAAAGCAAAACAATGTACGAGGGCACATAAAAATCACGTGCCTTCTCATTCCCTCAAGGTGCCTTGCCGTTCCCTGCATGATGCCTTCTCATTCCTTGCATGATGCCATTTTCCTCCCCTTTCCAGCAGGTGCCAGTGCAAGGCATAATGTTTTGAGGTGTCACACTCAACACCTCCCCTCTGTCCTCCCGTTTCCAGCAGGTGCCAGTGCAGCGCATGTTGATTGAAGAGGTCTCAATCACCCCGTCCCCTCTTTCCATCCCAAAATTTCCTGTTTGTTTGTTTGTTTGTTTGTTTGTTTTAGTTTGTTTTGCTTGCTTGTTTGTTGTTCCTGTGTGCATTCTTTGCTCAAGGGGGGGGGTGTAAGGGGGCATGGGGAACTGTGAGACGTCCAAGCCACCCTCTCCCCTCCCCTTTCTGCCAGCTGCCAGTGCAGCGCCTGCCCATTTGAGCTTGTCTCACCCACCCCCTCCCCTCTTTTCCCACTTTACCCCTTCTGCCAGGTGCCTTCTCATGCCCTGCAAGGTGCCTTCGCATGTTGCACGGTGCCTTCACATGCCCTGCATGGTGCCTTGGCATGCCCTGCCAGGTGCATTCGCATTCCCTGCATGGTGACTTTCATTTCCTGCCAGGTAAGGGGGTAAGGGGGTTTAGGGTGCTCCCCCCGCTCACTTGCCCTGCTCCCCCCGCTCACTTGCTCTGCTCCCCCACCCCAACTCCTCCCCTGCCCTTGCGCAGGTGCCAGTTTCTCCTGTTGCCAAGATGAAGATACTTTGCACAGGGAGCAGATGCGTTGCCAGCTGCTTGTGTGGCCGTCCCTCATCATCCATGCGCGGGACATGAGAGAGAACAAGGGAGAGAAACAGAAGCAGGGGGAGGGAGCGCAGCGCCATGCCATGCCGCATGGCCCACCAAACCAGCATCAGGTGCGTTGTGAGTCGCCCCAGAGCATGCACTGCACACCTTGCCATATCCCTCACACCTGCCATCCCACCATGCCCTCACACCTCCTGCCATCCCCTCACTTGCCCTGCTCCCCCCGCTCACTTGCTCCGCTTCCCCTCTCCCCCACCCCAACTCCCCCCCTCCCCTTGCGCAGGTGCCAGCTTCCCTCCTGTCGCCAAGACGAAGACACTTGGCTTGCAATGTGTAGAGTGGTAGGGATTGATGAATCTGATTACGTTAGGAACATAGCACTGTGCAGAACGCTACTTCAGTACATCCACTTTGCACCACGAACCCACGTTCGTTCAGGGGGACCAAGCAAGCCAGAAAGTGCACGAAACGTGATGTGAGTGGGCTGGGCTCACAATCGCTCACCTAACTCCCACTCCCGTTTTTCAGACCTCGATTCTTATCATCCGCCACTCTATCTCAACTCAACATCCGAGCCTCTCTTCTAGATCGCCCTCCGCCATGGGGCATGGCATCACCATTTCGTAAGCCTGCTTTCTTAGTCGCAGTCACGCTATCGTAGTTTCGTTTTTCGTGATTTCGTTTGCTATTTTTTTTTTTTCCAGATCTCGTTTCAATCTCAAGCCATTCTACTCAAGAGCGCAGCCTCTCTTTTGGATCGCCATCCGCCATGGGCCATGGCATTAGTATTTCGTAAGCCCGCTTTCTTACTCACGCTATCTTCAGTCTTGTTTCCAGTAATTTCGTTTTCTTCGTAGATTCCCTCTTCTTAGCTCCGTTTGTTCCGATTTCTGCTTGTCCTTGTTCGTGCTGACGTGTGCATGGTCATGGCAGGCACGCTGCAGCCAGCACAAGCTCGTCATCTGCCGTTCCAGGAGCCAGCAGCAATGCGGCATTCCACATCCAAAATCTGCCACCAAACATGGCGATTTCCGTTTAGCTCCGCTTCAGGGCGCCGATGCCACGCCGCTGTCACGCCGATTGCCATGCCGCTGACACGCCAACGACAACGACGGCGCTGCTCATGGCGCTCTGGGGAACGTTGAGACATCCAGGCCACCCTCTCCCCTCCCCTTTCTGCCAGGTACCAGTGCAGCGCTTGCCCATTTGAGCATGTCTCACCCACCCCCTCCCCTCTTTCCCCACTTCCCCCCTTCTGCCAGGTGCCTTCCCATGCCCTGCATGGTGCCTTCTCATGCCCTGCCCGGTAAATTCTCATGCCCTGCATGGTGCCTTGGCATGCCCTGCCAGGTGCATTCGCATTCCCTGCATGGTGCCTTCTCATTTCCTGCCAGGTAAGGGGGTAAGGGGGTTTAGGGTGCTCCCCCCGCTCACTTGCCCTGCTCCCCCCGCTCACTTGCTCTGCTCCCCCACCCCAACTCCTCCCCTCCCCTTGCGCAGTTGCCAGTTTCTCCTGTCGCCAAGATGAAGATACTTTGCACAGGGAGCAGATGCGTTGCCAGCTGCTTGTGTGGCCGTCCCTGTTCATCCATGCGCGGGACATGAGAGAGAACAAGGGAGAGAAACAGAAGCAGGAGGAGGGAGCGCAGCGCCATGCCATGCCGCATGGCCCACCAAACCAGCCCCAGGTGCGTTGTGAGTCATTTGACCAATCCCCTCCTCTGTCCCCTTTGTTTTGAGTCATTTGACCAATCCCCTCCTCTCTCCTCTTTCTTTTGAGTCATTTGACCAATCCCCTCCTCTCTCCCCTCTGTTTTGAGTCATTTGACCAATCCCCTCCTCTCTCCTCTTTGTTTTGAGTCATTTGACCAATCCCCTCCTCTCTTCCCCCTGTTTTGAGTCATTTGACCAATCCCCTACTCTCTCTCCTCTGTTTTGAGTCATTTGACCAATCCCCTCCTCTCTCCTCTTTGTTTTTGGTCATTTGACCAATCCCCTCCTCTCTTCCCCCTGTTTTGAGTCATTTGACCAATCCCCTACTCTCTCCCCTCTGTTTTGAGTCATTTGACCAATCCCCTCATCTCTCCTATTCGTTTTGAGTCATTTAACCAATTCCCTCCTCTCTCCTCCTTGTTTCGAGTCATTTCACCAATCCCCTCCTCTCTCTCCTCTTTGTTTTGAGTCATTTGACCAATCCCCTCCTCTCTCCCCTCAGTTTTGAGTCATTTCACCAATCCCCTCCTCTCTCCTCTCTGTTTTGAGTCATTTGACCAATCCCCTCCTCTCTCCTATTTGTTTTGAGTCATTTGTCCAATCCCCTCCTCTCTCCTATTTGTTTTGAGTCATTTGACCAATCCCCTCCTCTCTCTCTGTTTTGAGTTATTTCACCTATCCCCTCCTCTCTCCTCTTTGTTTCGACTCATTTGACCAATCCCCTCCTCTCTCCCCTCAGTTTTGAGTCTTTTCACCAATCCCCTCCTCTCTCCTCTTTGTTTTGAGTCATTTGACCAATCCCCTCGTCTCTCCCCTCTGTTTTGAATCATTTGACCAATCCCCTCCTATCTCCCCTCTGTTCTGAGTCATTTGACCAATCCCCTCTTCTCTCCCCTCTGTTTTGAGCTATTTGACCAATCCCCTCCTCTCTCCCCTTTGTTTTGAGTAATTTGACCAATACCTTCCTCTCTCCTCTTTGTTTTGAGTCATTTGACCAATCCCCTCCTCTCTCCCCTCTGTTTTGAGTCATTTGACCAATCCCCTCCTCTCTCCTCTTTGTTTTGAGACATTTGACCAATCCCCTCCTCTCTTCCCCCTGTTTTGAGTCATTTGACCAATCCCCTACTCTCGCTCCCCTCTGTTTTGAGTAATTTGACCAATCCCCTCTTCTCTCCTCTTTGTTTTGAGTCATTTGACCAATCCCCTCCTCTCTTCCCCCTGTTTTGAGTCATTTTACCAATCCCCTACTCTCTCCCCTCTGTTTTGAGTCATTTGACCAATCCCCTCATCTCTCCTATTCGTTTTGAGTCATTTAACCAATTCCATCCTCTCTCCTCTTTGTTTCGAGTCATTTCACCAATCCCCTCCTCTCTCTCCTCTTTGTTTTGAGTCATTTGACCAATCCCCTCCTCTCTCCCCTCAGTTTTGAGTCATTTCACCAATCCCCTCCTCTCTCCTCTCTGTTTTGAGTCATTTGACCAATCCCCTCCTCTCTCCTCTTTGTTTTGAGTCATTTGACCAATCCCCTCCTCTGTCATATTTGTTTTGAGTCATTTGACAAATCCCCTCCTCTCTCCCCTCTGTTTTGAATCATTTGACTAATCCCCTCCTCTCTCCCCTCTGTTTTGAGTCATTTGACCAATCCCCTCTTCTCTCCCCTCGGTTTGAGCCATTTGACCAATCCCCTCTTCTCTCCCCTCGGTTTGAGCCATTTGACCAATCCCCTCCTCTCTCCTCTTTGTTTTGAGTCATTTCACCGATCCCCTCCTCTCTCCCCTTTGTTTTGAGTCATTTGACCAATCCCCTCCTCTCTCCTCTTTGTTTTGAGCCATTTGACCAATCTCCTCCTCTCTCCCCTCTGTTTTGAGTCATTTGACCAATCCCCTCCTCACTCCTCTTTGTTTTGAGTCATTTGACCAATCCCCTCCTCTCTTCCCCCTGTTTTGAGTCATTTGACCAATCCCTTACTCTCTCCCCTCTGTTTTGAGTCCTTTGACCAATCCTCTCCTCTCTCCTCTGTTTTGAGTCATTTGACCAATCCCCTCCTCTCTCCTATTTGTTTTGAGTCATTTAACTAATTCCCTCCTCTCTCCTCTTTGTTTTGAGTCATTTGACAAATCCCCTCCTCTCTCCCCTCTGTTTTGAGTCATTTGACCAACGCCTCATCTCCCCTCCCCTCCCCTCTCCTCCCTCCCTCCCTCCCTCCCTACATTTGACAATGTACTAGGGCACATAAAAATCATGTGCCTTCTCATTCCCTCAAGGTGCCTTGCCGTTCCCTGCATGATGCCTTCTCATTCCTTGCATGATGCCATTTTCCTCCCCTTTCCAGCAGGTGCCAGTGCAAGGCATAATGTTTTGAGGTGTCACACTCAACACCTACCCTCTGTCCTCCCGTTTCCAGCAGGTGCCAGTGTAGCGCATGTTGATTGAAGAGGTCTCACTCACCCCGTCCCCTCTTTCCATCCCAATATTTCCTGTTTGTTTGTTTGTTTGTTTGTTTGTTTGTTTGTTTGTTTGTCTGTTTCAGTTTGTTTTGCTTGCTTGTTTGTTGTTCCTGTGTGCATTCTTTGCTCAAGGGGGGGGTGTAAGGGGGCATGGGGAACTGTGAGACGTCCAAGCCACCCTCTCCCCTCCCCTTTCTGCCAGCTGCCAGTGCAGCGCCTGCCCATTTGAGCTCGTCTCACCCACCCCCTCCCCTCTTTTCCCACTTTACCCCTTCTGCCAGGTGCCTTCTCATGCCCTGCAAGGTGCCTTCGCATGTTGCACGGTGCCTTCACATGCCCTGCATGGTGCCTGTTCATGCCCTGGCTGGTGGATTGCATTCCCTGCATGGTGACTTTCATTTCCTGCCAGGTAAGGGGGTAAGGGGATTTAGGGTGCTCCCCCCGCTCACTTGCCCTGCTCCCCCCGCTCACTTGCTCTGCTCCCCCACCCCAACTCCTCCCCTGCCCTTGCGCAGGTGCCAGTTTCTCCTGTCGCCAAGATGAAGATACTTTGCACAGGGAGCAGATGCGTTGCCAGCTGCTTGTGTGGCCGTCCCTCATCATCCATGCGCGGGACATGAGAGAGAACAAGGGAGAGAAACAGAAGCAGGAGGAGGGAGCGCAGCGCCATGCCATGCTGCATGGCCCACCAAACCAGCCCCAGGTGCATTGTGAGTCGCCCCAGAGCATGCACTGCACACCTTGCCATATCCCTCACACCTGCCATCCCACCATGCCCTCACACCTCCTGCCATCCCCTCACTTGCCCTGCTCCCCCCGCTCACTTGCTCCGCTTCCCCTCTCCCCCACCCCAACTCCCCCCCTCCCCTTGCGCAGGTGCCAGCTTCCCTCCTGTCGCCAAGACGAAGACACTTGGCTTGCAATGTGTAGAGTGGTAGGGATTGATGAATCTGATTACGTTAGGAACATAAATGTATGAGCCTGTTATTATATGTGCAGGGGGATGGGGGGAGTGCAGGTTTGGTTTGGGCCAGGTTTGGGATATGAAAGAGTGGCAGAAACGGAAACAGGGAGTAGATGTGTTGCCACCTGCTTGTGTTCAGCCATGCGCAGGGCAGGACATGAGGGAGAAGAAGAGAGAGAAACAGACGCACAAGGAGGGAGCGCATGTGCCATTTTCTCCTGTCGACAACACGAGGCTATTTGCTACGACGCGTAGAGTGATAGATGACTTATAGATTTGATGACCTAGCGAATATGAATGTATGTGCTTGTTATTATATACGCAGGCGGGCAGAGAAAGGGGGGAGGGGTGAGGGAAAAGGGAGGGGAGTGGGGAGCAGAAGCAGAACAGAAGAGGGAGTGGTGGATGAGCTCTTGGCTCTCTGTGCTGTGCGCCCATCCCTGGTTGGCCATGCCATGCCATGCCCGGGAGGGATATGATAGATAGTAGGAAGCACAAAGTAGAAGCAGAAGCAGGAATGTGATATGACAGGGAGCAGATATGCATGGGCCATGCCCAGGGATTTCCAGGGCGGTTCGAGGGGGGCTGTGAGGGGCTGTGAGGAGAATTGGGGGGTAGGGGGGCCTTAGGGGGGCCTTGGGGGGGCTGTGGGGGGGTTTTTTCAGGATTTTAGGGGGGTTTTCTTCCCCTCTCTTGTACCCCATTTCTGCTTATTAACCAATCACAAGCAAGCTTTCTGCCATCACCTTTCCGATTACGCTCATGTTGTCGCCTTGCCGCCTGAGGAGGGGGAGGGGAGTAAGGGGGGAAGGGAGAGGAGAGCAGAAGGGAGAGCAAGGGGGGATGAGAGAGACGATATGCGCTGCTTGTTTTGATTTCCACACAGAAGGAGAGTGTGAGAAGGAGAGTGAGAGAAGGAGGGTGTGAGAAGGAGAGTGTGAGAAGGAGTGCCATACAGTGAAGTACTCGGGTATCTTGGGCACTGCAAAGCAGAAGCGTTGCAAGGAATGTGATCCAGATGATCCAGGTGGTCCGGGGCCCTCCTCCTGAAATACGTATGTCAAGATGTTGACCAGAGTGGGAGCCAGGGCAGTGTATGTAAGGGGTGGTGTATGTAGGGGTGGGCAGGGCAGGTGCAAACGTAGGGGATAATGAGTGACAGAAACTGAAGGGAGAGTGAGAATTGAATCAAAGAGGGGGAGAAAGAAGAAAACTGGCACAAGTTCACTACAGGTAGGCAGGATAAGTGACCAGCACAGGGGGGTGAAGTGACAAGGGCAGGGGGGTGAAGTGACAAGGGCAGGGGGGTCAAGTGACAAGGGCAGGGGGGTGAAGTGACAAGGGCAGGGGGGTGAAGTGACAAGGGCAGGGGGGTGAAGTGATGAGACGTGCTTTCCTCACACCCACTGCCCCACACCCACTGCCCCACACCCACTGCCCCACACCCACTGCCCCACACCCACTGCCCCACACCCACTGCCTCACTCCCACTGCCCCACACCCACTGCCCCACACCCACTGCCCCACACCCACTGCCTCACACCCACTGCCCCACACCCACTGCCCCACACCCACTGCCCCACACCCACTGCCCCACACCCACTGCCCCACACCCACTGCCCCACACCCAGTGCCCCACACCCACTGCCCCACACCCACTGCCCCACACCCACTACCCCACACCCACCGAGTGGCTGACTGCTGGGTGGCCTTGGCATGCCGCAGCACCGCCTCTGCCAACTCACACGGCGACACCCTTCCCTGCTCTCCCCCTGCCTCCCCTTTCTCCCCCTCCCCTCCCTGTCCCTCCTTCTCCGGTTCCTTCTCTCCTCCTCCTGTAACCTCTTCCTCCTGCTCTTTCTCCTGCTCCTTTTCCCCGGCCTTATCCCCCTCCTTCCCCTCCTTGTCTCCTTCACCCTTCTCCTCCTCCTTTTCCCCTTCCTCCGTCTTCCCCACCTCCTCCTTCTCACCCTCCTCCTCCTTCTCCTCTCCCTCCTCCAACTGCTTTCCTCCCTTCTCTCCCTTCCCCCCCTTCCTGGCATCCTCTCTAATCCTCACGAACAGCAGTGCCTTGCACCCAGACTCCACACTCACGAACCGAGGCTGAGGGACGTCAAGGGGCGGGCGAATGGTAGGGGCAAGGGGAGGGAGAAAGACGAGTGGAGGGAGAAAGACGAGCGGAGGGAGAGGAGACGTGATTGGAAATTGCACTGAGCATTCTCACGAACAGCAGCGCCTTGCACCCAGAGTCCACACTCGCGAACCAAGGCTGTGGGATGTCGAGGGGAGGGCGAACAGCAGGGGCAAGGGGAGGGAGAAAGACGAGCAGAGAAAGGGGAGTGAGAGGGAGAGGGAGGGGTGATGATGGATCCTCAGAAACAGCGGCGCCTTGCACCTAGACTCCACACTCACAAACCGAGGCTGAGAGGGAAGGGGAGGGACAAGACGAGGGACAAAGGAAAAAAAAAAAACGTTTTTTCTCAAACAGCAGTGCCTTGCACCCAGACTCCACACTCACAAACCGAGGCTGAGGGATGTCAAGGGGCGGGCAAACAGGAGGGGCGAGGGGAGGGCAAACGGTAGGGGCAAGGGGAGGGAGAAAGACGATGGGAGAGAGAGGAGGAGCGATAAGGGTTTCCACTTAGCATTCTCGCAAACAGCGGCGCCTTGCAGCCAGCAAGAGTCCAAACAGCAGCGCCTTGCAGCCAGCGAGACTCCACACCCCGAAGTGAGACCAGGTGAGAGCGTTCAGTCAGGTGACTTTTGAGTCGACTCAAAAGTCACCAGGTGAGAGCGTTCAGGACAAGGGGAGGGACAAGACGAGGGGCAAGGGGAGGAAGAGGGAGGGAAAAGAGGATTGCGAGAGAGGGAAGTGATGGGTGTTTGTGCTGGGCATTTATGCGAACAGCAGCGCCTTGCACCCAGACTACACACTCATGAACCGAGGCTGAGGGCCATGCACAAGGAAGGGAGGGAGAAGAGAAAGGAGGGAACAAGGAGGCGAGGATGCACAAGGGGAACAAAACAGGGGCACCTGGTAGCCTGAGACGTCTCAAAACAGGGGCACCTGGTAGCCTGAGACGTCTCAAAACAGGGGCACCTGGTAGCCTGAGACGTCTCAAAACAGGGGCACCTGGTAGCCTGAGACGTCTCAAAACAGGGGCACCTGGTAGCCTGAGGTCACGATTGCAATCGAGCCTGGGGGACACAGGGAGAGGGAGGGATACGAGGGGAGGGAGTGGGAGGGAGATAAGGGGAGGGTGAAGGAACAACAAGGGGAAAGGAGGGAAAAGGCACCCACCTACCCATCCCACGCACCTGTGAGCCGCTGCAAAACACACACACCTGTTTCCTCAACCCCCTCTCCACACGCACGCACCTGTTTCTTGAGTGCTGCCACTTCATTCGCCAGCAGCGCATCGATGGACGAACCCCCCTTCGCCTTCCCTGCAGATGCACCTTCCCCAGTCCGTGCCTCCCCCTCCCCCTCCCCCTGCGCCTTGCCAGCCTCCAGCTTGTCACACCACTGTGTGTGGGGCAAACAGGGATAAAGCAACATCATCTCAGTCAGATAAGCCCTCCCCAGCCACCTTCCCCAGTGCTTGCCTCCCCCTCAGCCCGCACCTTCATGGGCACCAGATTGTCGCTCAACGGTGTGTGGGGCAAGCAGTGGAGATGGAAGGAGTAGGAACAACATCAGCTCAGTTAGAAAAGCCCTCCCCAGCCACCTTCCCCAGTGCTTGCCTCACCCTACCCGTTCCTCTGCGCCTTGCTGCCTCCAGCTTGTCACACCACTGTGTGTGGGGCGAACAGAGGAGAAAGCAACATCAGCTCAGTCAGATAAGCCCTCCCCAGCCACCTTCCCCAGTGCTTGCCTCCCCCTCAGCCCGGGCCTTCACGGGCACCAGCTTGCCGCCGCACAACGGCGTGTGGGGCAAGCAGGGGAGATGGAAGGAAGAAAAGCAAAAACAGCTCAGTCAGATAGGCCCTCCACAACCACTTTCCCCAGTGCTTGCCCAGTCATCTATCTACCTACCCTCCAGGTTCTATCGTTTGCCTGTGCGCTCCACTCACCTCCTTGCCACCTCACCTCATCAAGCTGATCCCCTGTGCATGTCACCTCACAAGCTGATCTCCTGATCACCTCTTACCACCCCCCCCACCCCTCCTCTCCCTCACTGTGTGCTCGTGCCTCACCTCATCGAGCACGTTCACAATCTCCCGCCCGCACTCTCTCTCCCTGCCGGTCGCACTCGACACCAGCCACCCCCTGCTGCCATTCGCGATAGGGCCCGCTCCCCCTCCACTCTGAGGCGCACGAGAGGGAGGCGCCGAAGAGGGAAGGAGGAGGATCAAAGGAACAATTTACTTTGTTTCGACTCCAACAACAACAAGCCCGCACTCTCTCTCCCTGCTGGTCACACTCCACACCAGCCACCCCCTGTTGCCATTCGCGATGGGGCCCGCTCCCCCTCCACTCTGAGGCGCACGAGAGGGAGGAGCAGAAGGGGGAGGGGCACGAGGGGGAGGGGCGGAGCAGAAGGAGCAGAGGGGGGAGGAGCAGAAGACGGAGGAGCAGAGGGGGGAGGAGAAGAATGGGGAGGAGGAGAAGGGGGAGGAGGAGAAATGAGGGAGGGGAGAAGGGTGAGGAGGAACAGCAGGTGGGGGCACAGAAGGGAGAGGAGGAGAGGAGCAGAAGGGGGGGGAGCAGAAGTAAGAAACGGTTGCAAACCACCTCCAATCCCTCCCCCTGCCAGCCCCCTTGCTGCCATACATTCTGGGCGCCGCCTTCTCCCCATTCTGGATCATAGGGTTTAGGGTGAAGGAGCAAAGGAAGAAACAATCGATCCTTCACCTGCACTCTCGCTCCCTGCCTGCTGCTGCCCGCCGCCACTTCGAAAGAGGAGATCGAGGTTGGGGTTTTGGGTGCATGGGAGAGAGCGAGCAACAACAAAGGGTTTCGGGTTTTGGGTGCATGGGAGAGAGCGAGCAACAACCAAGAGTTTCGGGTTTTGGTTGCATGGCAACGGAGATTCGTGGGCCGGGATGTGGGAGGGAAGAGAGACGGCGGGGGTGGGGGGAGGGGAAGGGGGACAGCAGGGGTGGGGGGAGGGGAAGGGGGACAGCGGGCGACACGGGCCGGACGGGTGAGGACCAGAGGAGAGAGGCGACGGGGGGAAAATCCGCTCTGTGTAAGACCAAGTGCTTAAAGCGATATCAGGACCAGAGGGGAGAGGCGACAGCGGAAAAATCTGCTCTGTGTAAACCTAAGTGATCAAGGCGATCTGAGGACCAGAGGGGAGAGGCGGCGCCGTGGGAGCACACGATGGGAGGAGGAGAAGAGAAGGGGGGAGGGAAGACGGAGGTGTGTGCGCGAGCGGGAGGAGAGGGCACGAAAGGAAAGGGGGGGAAGGGGTTGAAGAGGAAGGGCGGGAAGTGGGGCGGATCGGGCTGGTGAGCGCACGCCGCCGCGGAGATCACAGCGGCGACGCCGCCAAGATCATAGCAGCGGCGACGCGCAACGGATGCTGCCGCGACTCGCGACCGAAACGCGACTGAACGCGCCTGCAGAATTGTCGCTGATTATCGTCGTTATTCGTCTGTCAGCCAAGAAAAACATTGGTACACGCCTGCCGGCGGTTTATGTTGACTAATGCGTCGCGACATAAGTTTAAAGGCTCACAGCGTTCAGGTATCGCGACTTGTGCCGCTTCGATTTCCCCCGACCTCCATTACCGCTCCGATTGCCCTCCGCCTCGCGCTTTCCGCGACCCATGTGCGATTGTATGGCCGTGGCTACTGATCAAACGAGAGAAACGCTCAATGGCTGATTTGCATATCAACACAAAGTACACAACTAAACACAATCGCAGTCAGGACCAGTAGCACAAACCTTCCAATCATTGTTTGATCAGCGGGTTCAATACCCGCCTGGACCTTTTGTTTTATCCACCTCTCAAGGCTCCGTTTCCATTCAAATCTTATCTAAAGGTGTTTTCTTACTGCTCTGGGGCATTCTTCTTTCATATCATACTCGTCGTCGCATCCCTTCTTGTTGTAAGCCTCAGCCATCTTGACTGGTTTTTTCCGGACGTGCTTGTCGTCTACACCTTCATTGTGTTGCTTCGTTGGTGTAGAAGATTTTTCTTTACTGGCACACCTCGACCACCACACTGGCACGCCCCATGCCCTGTCACCTCACCCATGTGCTCTACAGTAGGGCTACTGGCGTCACGCCCCACCACCAGCACCAGGCTATCAACAGCGAGTCCAGCACCCACACACCCCGTGCCCTGCTCTGCTGCACCACTCACCTGCTCTGCCGCACCACTCACCTGCTCTGCTGCACCACTCACCTGCTCTGCTGCACCACTCACCTGCTCTGCTGCACCACTCACCTGCTCTGCCGCACCACTCACCTGCTCTGCTGCACCACTCACCTGCTCTGCTGCACCACTCACCTGCTCTGCTGCACCACTCACCTGCTCTGCTGCACCACTCACCTGCTCTGCCGCACCACTCACCTGCTCTGCCGCACCACTCACCTGCTCTGCCGCACCACTCACCTGCTCTGCTGCACCACTCACCTGCTCTGCCGCACCACTCACCTGCTCTGCCGCACCACTCACCTGCTCTGCCGCACCACTCACCTGCTCTGCTGCACCACTCACCTGCTCTGCTGCACCACTCACCTGCTCTGCTGCACCACTGACCTGCTCTGCTGCACCACTCACCTGCTCTGCCGCACCACTCACCTGCTCTGCCGCACCACTCACCTGCTCTGCCGCACCACTCACCTGCTCTGCCGCACCACTCACCTGCTCTGCCGCACCACTCACCTGCTCTGCCGCACCACTCACCTGCTCTGCCGCACCACTCACCTGCTCTGCCGCACCACTCACCTGCTCTGCCGCACCACTCACCTGCTCTGCTGCACCACTCACCTGCTCTGCCGCACCACTCAGCTGCTCTGCTGCACCACTCACCTGCTCTGCCGCACCACTCACCTGCTCTGCCGCACCACTCACCTGCTCTGCCGCACCACTCACCTGCTCTGCCGCACCACTCACCTGCTCTGCTGCACCACTGACCTGCTCTGCCGCACCACTCACCTGCTCTGCCGCACCACCCACCTGCTCTGCCGCACCACTCACCTGCTCTGCCGCACCACTCACCTGCTCTGCCGCACCACTCACCTGCTCTGCTGCACCACTCACCTGCTCTGCCGCACCACTCACCTGCTCTGCCGCACCACTCACCTGCTCTGCTGCACCACTCACCTGCTCTGCCGCACCACTCACCTGCTCTGCCGCACCACTCACCTGCTCTGCCGCACCACTCACCTGCTCTGCTGCACCACTCACCTGCTCTGCCGCACCACTCATCTGCTCTGCTGCACCACTCACCTGCTCTGCCGCACCACTCACCTGCTCTGCCGCACCACTCACCTGCTCTGCCGCACCACTCACCTGCTCTGCCGCACCACTCACCTGCTCTGCCGCACCACTCACCTGCTCTGCCGCACCACTCACCTGCTCTGCCGCACCACTCACCTGCTCTGCCGCACCACTCACCTGCTCTGCCGCACCACTCACCTGCTCTGCCGCACCACTCACCTGCTCTGCCGCACCACTCACCTGCTCTGCCGCACCACTCACCTGCTCTGCCGCACCACTCACCTGCTCTGCCGCACCACTCACCTGCTCTGCCGCACCACTCACCTGCTCTGCCGCACCACTCACCTGCTCTGCCGCACCACTCACCTGCTCTGCCGCACCACTCACCTGCTCTGCCGCACCACTCACCTGCTCTGCCGCACCACTCACCTGCTCTGCCGCACCACTCACCTGCTCTGCCGCACCACTCACCTGCTCTGCCGCACCACTCACCTGCTCTGCCGCACCACTCACCTGCTCTGCCGCACCACTCACCTGCTCTGCCGCACCACTCACCTGCTCTGCCGCACCACTCACCTGCTCTGCCGCACCACTCACCTGCTCTGCCGCACCACTCACCTGCTCTGCCGCACCACTCACCTGCTCTGCCGCACCACTCACCTGCTCTGCCGCACCACTCACCTGCTCTGCCGCACCACTCACCTGCTCTGCCGCACCACTCACCTGCTCTGCCGCACCACTCACCTGCTCTGCCGCACCACTCACCTGCTCTGCCGCACCACTCACCTGCTCTGCCGCACCACTCACCTGCTCTGCCGCACCACTCACCTGCTCTGCCGCACCACTCACCTGCTCTGCCGCACCACTCACCTGCTCTGCCGCACCACTCACCTGCTCTGCCGCACCACTCACCTGCTCTGCCGCACCACTCACCTGCTCTGCCGCACCACTCACCTGCTCTGCCGCACCACTCACCTGCTCTGCCGCACCACTCACCTGCTCTGCCGCACCACTCACCTGCTCTGCTGCACCACTCACCTGCTCTGCCGCACCACTCACCTGCTCTGCCGCACCACTCACCTGCTCTGCTGCACCACTCACCTGCTCTGCTGCACCACTCACCTGCTCTCGGGCATCTCTGCACCCCCTAAACCTCCTTAACAAC